ATTACGTAAGTAATGTGATGCCACCGAAAATTTACCACTTTTGGTAAGGGTATATAAAAGCCCTTTCCGACGCAAAATATGCATACATTCAAATCACAAACATGTTCAGACCGGGGATTTAGAAATTCCAAGATGAAGATATTCCTTGTTCTTAAAAGCGCTGGAAAGAAAGGGATATGGATCAACTTGAGAAACAAAGATCATCCAGAAAGAGACCCCCCCCCCCAAAAAAAAGAGTCATACCCCAGGCATGGTAATCAAAGTGTAACATCTTGTAACAGGTGAAAATCCACGAACACAAAAGTCAATGGCAACAGATATACACGCACTTCAGGCAACAGTAAAGAACGTAATTTAAAAACTCGGCGTCTGGAAACGAGGTCAACGGGGTATTGGTTCCGCAAGGTAAAGTTTCCAGTAACACCACACGTTCAGCAGCTGCATATCTCAAGCAGTTGGAAAATGAAGTAGATATTCATACAATTCCATACGAAGACGCAACACATATGAACTTATGTGCGAATAGACTGTTAAAACAGGCGCTGGGAAACTTTCTTCCTCGTATACTAGATAGATTACGGAAAATTGCAGAGAAGATTTGAGTAACATGGACATGACAGCATTATGTCTGAACCTTTTCCAGGAATATTGTAAAGGTGGGCGATAGTTAGAAAGAGCGCGACAGATGTGGCTACATGGACTGTAAGGATGTAGTGAGGCTCCAAAAATCATTTCAATAGCCAAACTCGGCCTTATATATAAAGATTAAAAAGTAGCTCATATTTATTTGTTACAAGACATTTAACTAAAATAACGAATGCCATGACAAATAAGTTATATTTATTAACTTGCTCCGCAAAGTTAAAATGAAAGTTAAATGTAATCCTAGTATAAAAAATAATGCTTAACTGCAGAGTTTTAAATCATATTTCTATTGATTAGAAGTTTCCAAACACAGAATTGAGCTGCATATACAACATAAATACAGCATTTCATTTCAGATAAATTTTGGTTACTATAAGTACCGATTAACTGATGAGTTGTGAAGTTGAAATGAAGGGCTCCTGAACAGATAAGATATGAAATTATATTTCTAAACATTTCCAATATGGAATATGATAAAAAGTATCTGCAGCCTAAGAGCTATTCTTATTACATTTGTTAGGCCTAATGAGCCTTCTTGCTTTAGTAGCATAATTCTTTAACATCATAACTATCTCC